CGAGAGGAAGACAAAGTTAGGTCACGCTCGAGGATGGCGGCAAGCACGCGTCCCATTCGCCCGCAACGAAAACGCCGGCCGCCTGCTGACCTCAACTCAACTCATGACAACCTGCTGCTTACTAGCAGTCGTATAGTAGATGCTAACTGCATCTGTCTTAGGATAAAGCATTGTTTGAATCAAGGGTGTAAAGTTTTGTGGTGTCACGTGGGGTGTCGCATGGCATGTTCGGATACTTACTAAAAAAACAAATTACAGAATCCGTCGGTAATCCGCGAGACAAATTTATTAAGCCTAATTAATCGGTCATTAGCACATGTGTTACGGTAGCACCACATTGTCAAATCATGAACTAATTAGGCTTAAAAGATTCATTTCGTAAATTAGTCGCAAACTGTACAATTAGTTATTTTTTTAATCTATATTTAATACTCTATGCATGTGTGTCCAGACATTCGATGGTATAAAGAGTAAACTTTAGGGGAGAAACTAAACGAGGCCTAAACCTCTCTTTACCTCACCCTGTTTTTTCCCCAACTTTTGTTCCTTCTTGGGGCAGGCAGCTTTGCTTATACGTGGACGCGGCCATGCGTGTTCTCACCACCACTCCACCGTACACGCGTATGTATGTGTATGTGTCTGTGCGCATCGGTGCAGGCTTGCGTCGCATCCACATCCACTGCCGTCCAGTCCGTTTCTCCAGAACCGAGTGACAGATGCAACTGCATGTGCAGCTTTGTTTGGCTGCATGCACTCCTGTCTTCATCCACCAGCGCCCTGCGGCACACAACACAAGAATAATCATATGGACACGTTCGCATCGCAATATAAACAAACCCAAAGGCAAGTGCACGTCCATCTGAGGATGAACTACGTTTACTTGCAGCAACAGAGCTTAAAGGCTCCGCAGCCAGCGCTGGTTTCAGACAGTGTTTCAGGCTCTCCATGCATCGAGATCTTGCAAGCCACGCCGTTTCAATATATCTTCACCACGTACAGTACGGTACCCGCTTGCATTGCCCAGCTGAAAAGGTGCTGTGCAGTGCAGGGAAAACTAACCGCTGGCGTACACGTCGGTAAAACAAGAAGAGTGTAAACGTACACGGCAGAGACAAGAAGAGTGTAAACGTACACGGCAGAGACGACTATGGTCCTATTCGTTTGTCTTATGAGCCGTACTTCTTCAGCGAAGAAACACTGTTTTTCTCTCACAACAAATAAGCAAACAATGTTTTTCAGTTTGGCGTATCAGCCAAGCGACCTCGATCTCCGAATTGACGGGAGGTGGGCGGGCGGGCGGGAGAGGAAGAACAACCAACCAACACAGTGACGACGAAAGCAACGCATGCAATCCTAGCACAATGTCTGGGGCGGTGTTAGAATTATTGACGACCAAGCTAAGGGTATACGTACGGTGATGGAGGCGACAGGCGAGGAGGAAACGCCGCCGTCCAACAAAGGAACAGAAAGGGCCAAAACATGCAGATCCCATTGCTCGGACACGAGCAGGACCTGGAGAGAAGCTAGCTAGCAGTAGCTTATTCAGCGTCCAAACCAGAGCAGGCCCCCTCGCCTCGGTCGGTCGACTGCCTAGCTTGGCGCGACGCATGGCGACGTGGCGGGGCTGTCTCCGTGGAAGTCGAAACGATCGAGGAGACCTACGTATATGGGCCGTACGTATGTACCGGATGGCTGGCATGCAGCTACGTACACGCTACACATGCACTACTGAAAACCCATCCTTTGCCGAGGGATTCTGGGTTTGCCGAGGGCTAGATCTCGGGAACTCGGCAAAGGATCTATTTACCGAGGGCCAGCCCCAGGAGCCCTCGGCAAAGATAGGCCCTCGGCCAAAGAAATCTTTGCCGAGGGCTAGGACCTCGGCAAATTCGCCCTCGGCAAATATGGCCGGATGGGTCACGGTGGCCACTGGCGTCAGTCTTTGCCGAGTGCCCGCCGTTAGACACTCGGCAAAGATTTTTATTTTTTTTAAATTTTCTTTGCCGAGGGCCATTGGCCAAGCCCTCGGCAAAGATCCCCTTTGCCAAGGGCCAGGCTAGGCCCTCGGCAAAGATTTTTTATTTTTCTTTTTAAATTTTCTTTGCCGAGGGCCATTGGCCAGGCTCTCACCAAAGATCCCCTTTGCCGAGGCCTAGGCTAGGCCCTCGGCAAAGATTTTTTTTTTGGTTTTTTGAACCCAGTTTTTTTGTGGTGCTATAATACATTATTAAAAACTCAATTTTAAAATTTGGGCCAATTTTGACTTTTATTGATATATTTCCCTAATTTATTTTTTTTCGTTGATTTTTTTCGAATATTTCAAATTTGAACTACAGTTGGATGGAATAATGCAATTTAGTGATTGGAAAAATGTTATTCATGTTATTTGGTGTATGTTGAGTCCCTATCCACGAACTCGCACCAAATTTCGGGCATCTTCTTCACGTAACATGATGAGGAACTTGTCGAAAAGTGTTTTTAAATTATATAAAATCCATACGAAGTCCGAAAATCACAAAACTTGTCGAGGTGTCGTGTTATCGCATGTGTAGGCTGTGGTAAAAAATTGAGAAGGTTTCGAGCAAGTTGTTACGTCGGATGCCTAAAACCCAGACATCCCCACATGTGAGCAAGTTGTGACGTTAGATGCCTAAAACCCAGACATCCCCACATGTGATCACATGTAGGGATGTCTGGGTTTTTGGAATCCGACGTCAGAACTTGTTCGAAACCTTCTCAATTTTTACCACAGCCTCCACATGCGATAACACAACGCCTCGACAAGTTTCGTGATTTTCGGACTACGTTTCCATTTTATATAATTTAAAATCACTTTTTCGGCAAGTACCTCGACATGTTACGTCAACGAGATGCTCGAGATTTCATGTGAGTTCCTGGATAGGGACTCAACATACCCTAAATATCATGAGTATCAATTTTTGGATGACCAAAGTCCATTATTCCATGTACCTGCAGTTCAAATTTGAAATATCGCGAAAAATTCGATGAAACGAAATAAACTAATAAAATATATCAAAAAAAGTCAAAATTGCCCCAAATTTTAAAATGGAGTTTGAAATCCTGTCACAAGGCCCCAGAAAAAAATTTGGGCCCAAAATCAAAAAACAAATTGCCGAAAGTGCCATGGGGCACTTTCGGCAAAGTGAAACTTTGCCGAGTGCCGCCCAGAGGCACTCGACAAAGATGATTTTCAAAAAAACCGGGCACTACAAGTCCACTGCCCCAACCCTGTGCGGCTCAACCCTAAGCCGGCCGCCCCGCTCCCCGCGCCCCCCCGCCCGCCGCCTTCCCCCCTACCAGCGCCATCGCCCTGGCCGTGAATCGCCGCCACCGGCGAGGCCCGCCCTCGCGCCCGCTTGCGCCCGCGCCCTCCGCCGGCCTCGCCCGCGACCGCGCCCGTCGCCGGCCGCACCCACCCCCGTCGCCGGCCGCGCCCCGCCCTGGCAACTCCCCGCGGCCCGGCCCCCCTTGCCTCGGCCGCCCAGAGGTTGCTCGCTAGTGCCGGCCGGCCATTTCCGGCAGCGGCGGCCGTGTCCCTCCGTCCGCGCTGTCGTCTTCCTCCCCCGCGCCATCTTCTTCCTCCCGGCGTACCTCCGTCCGCACCGTCTTCTTCCTTCCCCGCGCCGTCTTCCTCCTGCTCGGCGTCCCTCCGTCCGTCTTCTTCCTCCTCCGCGCAGGGAGCCCGAACCCTAGCAGGTTTTGGATCCCCTTTTCTTCCTCCCTGTAGGTTTTGGATCCCCTTTTCTTGTTGCCTATGTGATGCCTGTGATTAATTCTATAGCTGCCTATGATGCCTCTATTATTTTCTAATGTGCAATCTGCTAGTTTCTATAACTTGGGTGCGATTGCACTATTGGGCGGACTAATTTGTTGCTCGATGATACAAAGCGGTGTAGTGAGACAACGTGACAGCCGGATTCTAGAGTGTTGATTATTTTCAGCACTGTTTAATTATTTGCCTAGCAATTTATCTATTAATTTGAACTGCTTATTAGTTGATCAGTTGGTTAATCCTATGAGCATATAACCTGTTTTGTACTAATCTTCAGTAACTTATTTTCCTGGTTATATTGCTATTTTTCTAGGCACTTAATTTTTGATCTAGAACCTGTTATTTTGGTAAGAAGGGCTGTCATAGTAGTCAAGGATCAGTGATCACCAACAAGCGTTGGAAGGCTGCTTGGTGCAGCAACCCGCTATTTTGAGAGCAATTATTTACAAACAAACATGTTTATGCATTTAATCTGCCTACTGCTACAATTACTGATATCTACTATTACTACTATTACTAGTACTGTTGCTACTTCATGTACTACTCCTACTGCTATTAGCTCCTATTTCTACTACTCTATCTAGTCTCTACTACTACTACTAATGGTGTTGGTTGGCTCCTATTTCTACTACTCTATCTAGTCTCTACTGCTACTACTACTAATGGTGTTGGCTGGCTGTTGCTCTCTACTACCCTACTGCTATTTCCTACTGTTTGTACTGCTATCTACTACTCACTAAATTCCTACTACTACTGCATACTGATATCTACTATTACTACTCCTGTTGGTTGGTGATGTAGATGACGAACCCTAGCTAATGTTATGCAATTTTTGGAATTTTGGATTTCCATTGCTAAGCTCAGTTAGCTTCCATTGCTGCCTGTGATGCCAATATTTGGAATGCTTAGCATATGCCATATGCCATTTCCATTTCATATGCCCAACCCCCGCACGGCCCAACCCTAACCACGCCCCCAGCCACGCCCTCCCCCGCGCCCACCCCCGCCGCTGCCGTGCCCTCGCCGGCGAAATGAAATCTCTGGAACCAAGCGGTGCCCGAAGCGTGGATCTCGCGGTGGAGCCGAAGACGAAGCTTCCGGGACCCCAAACCCCTGTTCATCTAAAACCCTCCTCCCGACCCGGCGGCAAAAGCAATTCGAGTGCGCACACGAGCAGCCGCAGGCAGCCAGGCACACTCGCGCGACCATGTACCGGGCGGCGGCGGCGGCCATCTCGAGGTCCTCCTCAGCGCTGCGGAGGCAGCTCGCGCGGGGCGCGGGCGGGGAGCCGCCGCGTCTGTTGGCTCGGGTGTATGCGGCCACGGCGAAGGAGGTGTCCTTCGGCGTTGGCGCCCGCGCCGCCATGCTGCAGGGCGTCAACGACCTCGCCGACGCCGTCAAGGTCACCACGGGCCCCAAGGTTCGCGCTCCCTGCTTTGCCTCTGGGAAGCTTTGCGTTGGTCGGGGGCGGGGCGTGATGCAGCGGCGACCGGCGTGGATCTAGTGGAACCGCTGGGCTTTCGCATTCGATTGAGTGGGCTCATTGCTTGTGTTGCAGGGGCGCACTGTGATCATCGAGGGGTTCTGTAAAGGTCCCAAGGTCACGAAGGATGGGGTCACTGTTGCCAAGAGCGTGGAGTTCGAGGATAGCGCGAAGAATGTTGGGGCGAATCTGGTGAAGCAAGTTGCTGATACTACGAACAAGGCTGCAGGGGATGGTAGGCACCAGGGCTTCAGGAAATTACTGTGCTTTTTCGTGAATCAGCATCTGAACTACCTGCCAGCTGCTATACAGCAATACAACATCCATCTTAGTCTCTTATTTCTCATCTGACTTTGATGTCAACATCATGATTGTTACTAGCGTCTGCTGTAGTAAACAACCACTAATCATCATTGCGATTCTGTACTAGTATGCTCTCATGTAACATCTTTTTGCATTTTACTTGAAAAAACTCTACTAAGCATGCCTAGTTTCATTTTTCTCTTGTAATCCAGGTAGCAACCATTTCTGCAAATGGTGAAAAGGAAATTGGAGATCTGATATCAAAAGCTATGGAAAAAGTTGGAAAGGACGGAGTCATTACTATTGTTGTGAGTGTCGAGTGTTTCTTTTTGCTGTTAGGCTCTTTCTGTATAGCCATTTTACTATACTGCAACTTACCGTTTGGAAATTGGCAGGATGGCAAAACATTGGACAATGAGCTTGAAGCGGTACAGGGAATGAAGCTGTCCAGAGGATACATATCTCCTTACTTTGTGACTGATCAGAAACTCAGAAATGTGTAAGTCTGCATTTCTTAGTGCTCTCCTATATGCTGAAATGGTTTTAGGGCACTCTCCTCTAACAACTCATAGGAAATTATAAGAGATCTGGTGGAGTTGCTGTATTCCATTTACTAATTTCATTTCATGACTTGCTTATTATTTTAACCTATGCAAACTGACCATATGCTGTATGTGTTCTTCGGTTCATGTCTCTTCACAGGTGGTGGAGCCGCCCTTCTTTATGCCACGAAGGAGCTCGACAAGATTAGCACAGCAAATGAGGATGAAAAGATTGGAGTTCAAATTATCAAAAATTCTTTGAAGGTGGGTCTCTTCTAGCTAACTATGTAGCTTCACGCATTTAGGTTATCTGTCTCCTGAATCTAAAATAATTTATAGATTTCTCCAGGCTCCCTTGATGACCATAGCTGCAAATGCTGGCATTGATGGAGCTCTAGTCGTAGAGAAGCTAATTGAACAAGAGGACCTCAGTTTGGGCTATGATGATGAACATGTGACTTGTCGTTGTAATATACTGTGATTTGTGGTTCACAATTATGGTTGTGATATATTGTGAGAAAATGGGTTCTGTGTGATATATATATGTGATGGTTGATATATATATGTATATATATGACATGCTTGTGTCGATGGAATGCAAAAAACAAAAAAAAAATTAAATTTCTGCCTCTTTGCCGAGGGCAATGACCAAGGCCCTCGGCAAAGAAGGGTCCTTTGCCGAGGGCCGTCCCTTTGCCCTCGGCAAAGATTCATTGGAAAAATTCTGGAACATTTCTTTGCCGAGGACCATGGTTGGAGGCCCTCGGCAAAGACTTTTTTAAAAAAAATTAAAATTTCTTTGCCGAGGGCCTGCGGGGAAGCCCTCGGCAAAGATTTTTCAAAAAAAAAGAATAATTCTTTGCCGAGGGCCGTTCCATTGCCCTCGGCAAAGATTTTTTGAAAAAATTCTGTAACATTTCTTTGCCGAGGGCCACGGTTGGAGACCCTCGGCAAAGATTTTTCAAAAAAAAAAGAATAATTCTTTGCCGAGGGCCCCCGGAGACGGCCTTCGGCAAAGACTCCGTCTCAGACGCTGGCGCCGTGACGGTTGCTTTTCTTTGCCGAGTGCCGGTCCAGCCCTCGGCAAAGGCTTTGCCGAGTGCCCGATAAAGAGCCCTCAGCAAAGACCCTCTTCACCGACTCAAAATTCCCCGAGAGCTCTTTGCCGAGGGCCACCCTCGGTAAAGCCTTTGCCGAGGGTTAATGGGCCTTTGCCGAGGGCCTCAGGCCCTCGGCAAAGAGGCCGTCTCCAGTAGTGATGCATACGTACAAGTACGAGCGTGACAGACAGATGACTTGTCAAACCCCAGTTCATAGAATACAGACATGGAGCAATCGGAGAAAGCAACAGGTACCAATACGCTCGCTGCTTTGGCCAAACCTGCCGTGCCCGTGCGTGCGCGCTCACTGCATGGGCCCTGACGCTGAAACGTGATTTTGTTTCAAGCTAGAAAGAAGCTGGCACGGTACCTGACAACGAAATGCATGCATGCAACCAGTTACGCGGTAGATTTATTTGGTATATATAGCATGGGACTTGACACCGAGATGCAGGCAACTTTTTTGACCATCAGGAGATGAATGAAATAAAATTCAAGTGTATCCAACCATCGAACGCAGCAGGCATTAGCGGAGCCTGAAGCTTTTAGAAGCCCGGATGATTCCTATATTTAGCTAGAAACTTACGCGGTAGATTTATTTGTGTAGGCATTGGCATCCCTACACAAGCTGACACGCACCAGCCGGGCACTCCCAAACATTTGCATTTCATCTCACCAACTTGTTACTACAAACACACCCCCACAATAACTCATCGTGTAGCCAGGCACCAACCTTCTAGGTACTGCCCTTCGTCCTTCATGGCCAAGAAGAGGCTCCTCCTCGCTCACAAGCTCTTCTCGGCCATGCTCTCCCTCCTCCTCCACGGCCGCCGGCCGCCTCCTCACTACTCCGGCAGGTCATCAACCCCGCCGGTGGTGCACCGCGGCGCCGGCCCTCAGACGCTGGACGCACGGACCACGACGGCCGCCCTCGTCGTAGACGTCGACACCGCGCTGCTGCGCTCTGGAGACCTGTTCCCGTACTTCATGTTGGTGGCGCTCGAGGCCGGCGGCTTCATGCGCGGTCTGCTGCTGCTCCTGCTGTGCCCGCTCATCCGCCTGCTCATGCCCCGCGGCGCCGCCGTCAGGGCCATGGCGGCGGTGTCGTTCTGCGGCCTGCGAGCGGGGCGGTTCCGCGCCGGCCGCGCCGTGCTGCCCAAGTGGCTCATGGAGGACGTGGCAGCGGAAGTGTTCGAGGCCGTGCGCGCGGCGGGGATCAGGGCGGTCTGCGTGACTGCCTTGCCCAGGGTCATGGTCGACGGGTTCCTCGGGGTGGAGGCGGTGGTTGCCAGGGAGATGAAGGTCGTTTGGGGGTTCTACACCGGACTCATGGAGGAGCTGCCGGAGGGTGGTGGAGAGATGGTGATGAAGGCGGTGGTGGCGGCGCCAGCGCCGGCGCCGGCGGCTGAGGAGGAGAGTGACAAGGCGTTCGTGGGGTTCTCTGGGTCAATGGAGTTTCTTAATCATCCACTGGCACGTTGCTATAATTATTTCGCTTCCATTTATGGTAGGTTCTCTTTTCAGTTTGACTTTGAATATTTAATGAGCTAACGTTGAACAAATTAATTGGAAAGGTTACCGAACTAATTTTCAAGAGAAAAAATTTAAAAGGAGAGGTTTAAAATATGCATGACTTTGAGTATATATAGACTTGATTAAAACTAGGTTACAGAACAACTCCTTAGAAGAACAAAGAAAACCTTTTGAGAGGTTCAGAATATGCATGACACATACATGTATGCATTTCAGATGCATACATGTTGCATTTTTCTTTCCATCATGCATAGCCTCTCCTTTTTTTTTGCATGAAAGTAGCGTGCTTTATTACAAGTTAGCATCATCTCTATTATATTCCGGATCTCAGGTTGTGCAGGTTGTGTGCATCCTGGATAGCAGGCAACACGGTACAAAAATACGTAGACGTAGGACTATTTTGTATGGCTGGCAGTCTGACACAGACAAAACGTACAACATACACATAGTCCTTGAGGCATATACGCATATCTCGCACTGTTGGTGTCGTACTCATCATGCAACTCAATCATTCACATCGTTTTCCACTCAGCTGTGATAAAAAAAATTCTATCTTTCCGAAAAGGGAACTGCTAGCGCTCGGACGTCCGATCCGAGCGCTAGCATCGGACGCTCGTGCTGGTGCTCCTGGATCCCCCCCTGCCCGCCCCCCGCCAGAACCAACAACCTCGTCCCCATTGCTACAACCAGTAGCGCGCCAGAACCGAAGCTCGCTTGCATCGGGATGCCCAGCAAGACACCGACACGCCCGCACCTCGTGCCCCCGCACCTCGTCCCCATCTCCATCGCCATCCTCATCCCCATCCCCATCCCCCATCGCCCACAACCAGCGCCCGCCTGCAACCGAGCCCACTTCCATCGGGATACCCCCGCGCACGCCCGACACGCCCGCACCTCGTCCCCATCTCCATCGCCATCCTCATCCCCATCCCCATTCGTTTGCCTCGCCCCCGCAGGAGCACCCCCCCACCGCGTCGTGCCCCCGACGACGGCTCCGCTCCCCAAGGCGCTCATGTCCCCCCTTCCCCAACGCACCCAATTCCCAAACTGCAACATCGAAAAAATATGTAGTGCAACATTGATAAACATATACTGCAACATCGAAAAATATCTACTACAACAACGAAAAATATCTAATGCAACAAACAAAAAATATGTACTGCAACATCGAAAAAATATTACTGCAACATTGAAAAACATGCACTGCAACATCTAAAAAAATCTGATGCAACAATGAAAAATATCTACTGCAACAACGAAAAAATGTGTACTACAACATTGAAAAACATGTACTACAATATTGAAAAAACATATACTGCAACATTGAAAAAATGTGTACCGCAACATCAAAAAATTATGCTGCAACATTCGAAAAAATGTACTGCAATATCTCAAGCTATAGTACTGCAACATCGCAAAAACATATGTTGCAACAACCCAAAAAAATCACATTACAACATTCGAAATCATCTGTTGCAACATAAAAAAAACCAGTGTAACACGGCGAGATCTGACCCCCGAGAGCTCGCCGGAACCCTAGCCACCGCCACATCCCTTAGATCCAGAGGAGGAGGAGGAGCAGGCCTCAAATCCAGATCCCTCCGCGAGCTACCTCATCGGAGCCGCCACTGTCGTCCTCGTCTCCGGTGGGGGTGCGGGAGCCGGGTCGCAGGGAGAGTGGGGGTGCATGGAGGTCGCGGAGGGCAAGGGATGGAGGGAGGAAGGGAGCACGGGCGGGCGGGCGCTGCGCGCGGTGTCCCTGTCCCGGGGACGTCCCAGAGAGCAGGCAGGAAAGTGGGCGGAGGAGCGGCGCAGGAGAGATCGAGTGTGGGGGAGCGGGTAGAGTGAGTGCGGGAGAGAGCGAGTGGAGCGGGCGGAGTGGGGGAAGTGAAGTGCGAGTACAGAGCGATTTGTGAAACGGTGCATCCGGACACCAGGTCTATAGCATTACCGTTCCCAAAAAGTAGCAGGTAGGACAACACCTGTTCAAACCGTTCCCATTTCAATCCTGAATTTTGTGAACATCTGCCTTGGATTTATATATAGTTGTTGCTAAATTTTGTGAATTTTCTGAGCGTACGTGCGATGTGCAGGAGATCTTCATCGTGAGCTCCGACGAGAAGAGCAGGTGGCGGGCGCTGGCGCGGGACAAGTACCCGAAGCCGATAGTGTTCCACGACGGTCGCCTGGCTTTCCGACCAACAGCCACCGACACGGCCGCCATGTTCGCGTGGCTGCCGCTGGGCGCCGCCCTGGGCGCGGCTTGTCTCGCGGTGGCGCTGACCATGCCGTACAGGTACTCGACGCCGATCCTGGTGGCGACGGCCGACGGGCATGTCGTGGCGGCTCAAGGGCTCCCGCCCGGCGTTGCCGGGCGGCGGGCGCGGGCAGCTGTTCGTGTGCAACCACCGGACGCTGATCGACCCGGTGTACGTGTCGGTGGCGCTGGACCGGCAGGTGCGCGCCGTGTCCTACAGCCTGAGCCGGCTGTCGGAGCTCATCTCGCCCATCGGCCGCACCGTGCGCCTCACGCGGGACCGGGACAGCGACGGCGCCGTCATGGCGCGCCTCCTCGACCGCGGCAACCTCGTGGTCGTCTGCCCCGAGGGCACCACCTGCCGGGAGCCATACCTGCTCCGGTTCAGCCCGCTGTTAGCCGAGCTCAGCGACGATGTCGTCCCCGTCGGCATCGCCGTCGAGACGTCCATGTTCTACGCCACCACCGCCGGCGGGCTCAAGTGCTTCGACCCGCTCTACTACATGGTGAACCCCAGGATGTGCTCGCCGGCAACGACGGCATCGTCCGATCAACCAGCGACAAGTCGGCATCGGCGGCCCCTCCGGGTGCCGCCACCGCCGCCGACACGGGGAGGAAGAACAAGAGTACATAGAAGAACAACTGATAAGTCAAACTTATCGTTGATTGATTAGGAAAAAAAACACCGATTAGTAAGGGAAAAAAAAGAGCAGATTTTTTGTCCTTGACTTTTGGTTTTAGAAGAAGACCTTGGAAGTTTGGTACATCTCGCTGTTGATTCTTGATCATTCATTTTCTGCTGTCTGTTTCCTTCTCTTAAGTAGTTCTTATTTTTTTATTTTTAAATAGGTTAGGGATTTTTCTTGAGATTTTTATTTATGTACGTATATGTAAAGAAGCAACAGGCTTGTATCTTCTCTTGGGTTATTGTACTTGTACTGTAGAAAAAGACTACAATGTGAATTAAATAGTAAACTTGTCATTTCTGGTCTTGTCATGAATCATGATGCAACCTTGCAAGTCAAGAGAAAATGAGAAAGCTATAGAAATACATGCTGAAACTTGAATGGGAATTAATGGTTTCTTCTTTTAGACATCATTGGCGGCGATTTATATTCGTAAAAACGACTGTTAACAACGGGAAAATGAGAGGACGATGATGATTAGCTTGTTTCGATATTGGAAATTAAATTACTCGCACCAAATTAAAAGGACTCTGCATTATCATGAAGCAATAGATATTTGGAAGGTGGCTTGTGTTTGTGTATCTATCTATATATTGCCACCGAAGAAATATCCCCGCTGCAGAATAGAATGAGCTAGCACTATACCTTGTGTTGATTCATTTTGTGATTGTACCACATCAGATGATTCTATGCATTTGTCAGGAGTCGAACCCGGGTCTATTGCTTGGAAGGCAATTATCCTAACTGTTGGAGTACAAACGCCGGCCTGTTTTGTTATCTTTCACAGGCTATGTTGTCTAAAAGGGTAATTAGTAATTGAATTAAGATGCATTTCATTTATAGATGGCGATGCAGCCCATGGCCTGTTGGCACGGCACGAAGCCCGACATTTTGGCCCAACATAAGCCCGGCCCAGCCCGGTGACTAGCAGGCCCGGCCTGGCCCGGCCCAATGCATAGGGACGTTCCTGGGCCGCTCCCTAGGCACGGCGGCTGGCCCGCCCCGGCCTGCTAAACATGCATCGCCTGGTGCTAGCCCGTTAAATTGACAACCATGTGAATATTTGGCCTAGGCCACCACAATCCACATATATATGATGTTCCACTTTCTAACTCTAACTTTTCTCCCTCGGTCTCCTCCCAGCCAGTCTTGACGGTGGCCTCCTCTACTCCTGATTGCTCGACACCTCCGTGCGACTCCGCCCGAGGCACTTCTCACACCTCCACGAGACCATGACCCCTCTCTGCCTGACCGCACTAGCTCCTATGCCGCCAGAGCCACCTCCGACATCGGCGTGCCGCCTCCTGACCACCTTGGCTCGACAGGCGCCCCGGCCCTCGCACCACACGTCCCCGTCCGCCCCCACCCCACGCCAGTGCCGCCAGAGCTGCCTCCGCTCGTCCACCGCATCTCCGCATCTCAGCTATTCCCCGTCCAGCAGCCATTGCTTCGGCTCCAGCGCCCCGCAAGGCCAACACCGCACCATTGTTCCACCGCCCGTCGCCGGCCGCCCGCCCAAATCTAGGACGCCCCAGTTTCTGTGGGCTACGGGCCAGCCCGGCCTACTACAGGTCCCGGGCTTATCGGGCTAGCCTGGCCCAAAAAAAGGCCCATAGTGTCATGCCTGGGACGAAGGCCAGGCCCGTAGCCCTAAGAGGCACGGCGCAGAAGGCACAACGAGCTGTACCGGCCCGACACCCATCGGGCCATGTCTGGCACGGGGCTGACATCTATAATTTCATTAAGATGCTTGTCAGGAACACACGCTTCATTTGCACAGTAGAATCGGGGCCTTCGATCAGTTTGGGATGGTGGGAGGGTGTCCTGCCATTTCTCCGCCTATTAGCCATGATTAGCTGGTTTGGCCAAACTAGTGAGATAGTTGTTAGTTGGATATTCAGCTAACGATTAGCTACAATGTTAGGTGCATATGTTTGGATCTAAAGAAGCTAATTAGTTTTTTGATAAACAGGAGGTGTTGCTCCCTACTGAACTTTTATTAAAATGAGCTTGAAAGTAAAGGTACAGAGGCTGAGGATGAGACTCAGGATACAAAGAACGAAAGAAGAAGCTAATTAGTAGCAACTACCTATTAGCTATAGGGATCAAACAGACCGTAAACCACGTACTTTCCATCATGTGTGTTTGGAAATTGTGTAGCCTTTTCACTTTTACTCAACCTGTGTGCTTGTTCTTTTTTATTCTTGGCTCCTCTGTTTGTTGAATTCCTTTGTTCCAAACATATCCTTAGCTTTTGTGGGTTAACTCTTCGTCTTCTATAGCTAGTCGTTGGTTCCGTCTCCTAAATTTTAGTCCCTGTCACATCAGATGTTTGGACATAAATTTGGAGTATTAAACATAGACTAATTATAAAATTAATTGTACAGATTAAGACTAATTTATGAGACAAAACTATTAAGCCTAATTAGTCCATGATTTGACAACGTAGTGCTGCTACAGTAAACAAATGCTAATGATGGATTAATTAGGCTTAATAGATTCGTCTCGCAAATTAGTCATGGCTTCTGTAATTAGTTTTATGATTAGCTCATGTTTAGTTCTTATAATTATTATCGAACACTCAACGTGACACTCATAAACTTTAATCCCTGTATCAAACACCGGCTACTTGTTCTTTTTTTGATTCGTTCATTCAATTCATTCACCTGCTTGTTCAGACTCCCTTACATTACCCCACAGGCACAGTCCAGTTCCTGCTCCTGCACTGCACACGGACATACCCTGTGTATGTTCGGATGGTTAAACCCAACAACAAAAGATGCGGCAACTTAATTAATAACAATAACTCAATTATTGATGAAAGAACGGAGGATGGATCCCAGCGAGATGCATGTGGGCCTGAACGAAGAAATGCTGCCGCCCAACAACCAAGAGCATGCATGGTGACCTCCGGGACCAGACATGCACGCTGGTTGTGGTAGGGGCCGGTCCTGCATCGTCTGCAGTCTGCATCCTCGATCGTAGAGTAATAGGCAAGCCCTGTAGCGGCGGTATTTCATAGTACTTGCACCAGCTGCGACCACATCATCAGATCGGATCGGACCACACCCAAACAGTGCAGTGGCAGTGGCATTGTGTCAAGGACCGCACCCAAATAGATTCGGGTGTCAGATCGACTGTCAGTATACATTCTGCTTACAGGAAGTCAGGACCATATATATAGAGAGAGAGAGATCCAGCGGCTCCAACAACAAAAGGTCCAGTACGTAGTAGGACCAACCAGTAGTGTCGATGAAACAGTTGATACATATATATACAACAACTGCCGGCCGAACCTGTACAACGTCTGGTAGAACTGTCCGGCCGAACATGTACAACGTCTGGTAGAACTGTCCATATATATATATATATATATATAGCTCAAAGTTTACATACTTCTGTACTGGGCAGTTTACATTAAGCGAGTTATGGTACGATATGTGTATGTGTATGTTAATTACGAAACGTTACCTGCAAGCAAGCGTACGAGCGCTAGCTAGCTGCTGCTGGTGGTAGTACGATTATTATTGCACAAGCCATGAAAACTAAGGGGGCTGTGAATTATTTGGTTGTGTTGACAATAAAAAATGACCAGGAAGCATGAGATGACTTCTAGGAAACATATTTGAAATGTTGCATGGAAATTTGGAGGCAAAAAGATGAAAAAGGCGGAGCTCCCATGTTGAACCGGCCTGGCCGGTCCTTATGCCGGCCAGGCCGGCTGCCTGCTCCTATGCACCGCCTTGGGCCGGCCCCTAAGGAACCGGCCTGGCCAGTTAGAGAACCAGGCAGGGTGGCCCACCTGTGCGCCACACTGCCCAACTGCCCTGGCCGGTTTGGAACCCGGCTAGGCCGGTCTTCCGGCTCGCCCAGCCAGCTGGCTGCCACCGAGCTCGACAGAACCGGCCTAGCCGGTTTGGGAAACGACTATTCCGGTTTCTCGGCCGGAGTCTGAACTGATTTTTGTGTAGGAAACGTGAAGAATACATGTTGGACTTATTTTTTACTGGAATAAGACCATCCTCTCTAAAGGATCACGGTCGATTGAAGAATCCAACACTCAATCGTCTTTTTTGCATCTATTATCCAATTTTTACCCTTTTCCAACCCTCCTGTTGTTTGTTGCATCTCTCCGCGAGATTCAACGACGTTCTAGGTAGCTTTAAGGCGACGAGGGACGGGTTGCCCCCGTAGCCAAATATGCCAAGATTCAGGTCACCCTATCCTTAGAAAACAATCTGACGAGCCATCCCCTATCGACATTAGCGATGGGCCATCTCCAACAGCTCCTCACATAGACCTAAACATACATACCGAACAAAATATTGGCTAAACAAGAATATTTTGACCGGCCAAAATAAGTGAACGCCGGTTCGAATGAAATTACCAAAATTTCAAAGATCCATCCATTTTGACTGGGTCCAAATTTTTTTGCCATTCAAACCCTAGATATGAAAGACGACGAGCAGATAACTAGCCCTACGAAATGAATTGATGGTGCATTGCCTGGTTAACATCCAGCATTACATTAGCTCTGGGACGGCCGGTCTTAGAGGGTGTTTGGTTCAGCTAGGAGCTTCTAAATCTAGTCCCATTTAGTCATTTTTTACCCAATCACTATGACTAAATGAGACTAAAAGGGCTTTAGTCATCTCTAACAACTCTGGAGTGACTAAATGGGAATAAACCATTTAAGAGGGACTAAAGTTTAGCAGCCCAAACCAATCACCCCTTAATTTATTGGCATGGAACTGTGGTTGAGGTCGATCTGGGCAAGGATTGAGAATTGTACATTCGTTCCGTCCCCCACATGACGGCAATCATTCATCCGTCCATTCATTTGAAGATGAATATACCATTAATACAACTTTATACAGCATATATATACCCGGGCTCTTCCTAATGCTTGGAGACTTGGACCTGTAGGCTGTGGACAAGGACCCATGTCCCATGGGAATAAGTTCCATTCATGTCCAGTCCAGAGCCCC